ATCAATGATACTTTTCAAATATAAATGTTTATTTATATTATTAATGTACAGTAGCAATAAAATTAACGATATATGAATAAAAACAACACTGTTTTAAAGTTTCACTAATTTATTTATGTTTTTAATGATTAACAATTGTTTCGCTTCACAGTAGCTTCTTCAGACTGTGTAGCGAAACAATTGTTAATCATTAAAAACATAAATAAATTAGTGAAACTTTAAAACAGTGTTGTTTTTATTCATATATTTATAATATGGAGTTTCATCAAGTAAAGGTCGAAACAATCAACAATGTAAAATTAACGCTTGTATAAATTGTGTTATTAATAAACCTATTTAAATTTAATACTTTTTCTTTGCTTTTAAGTATCTTTTTAATTGCTCAAGTACTTACGTATCCAGAACCGTATTCACAACAAAAAGGGGTCCTAAATTAATTTCTTTAAACTAGTCTATCACGTGTTTTGGCCAAAGTTAGTTTTTCTGTGGTGTTCATATTCTTTTTTAATTATTAACGTGTCGCCTTTGCCCCGTTCGTACAATAGGTAAATAAGTTATGGTTACATAAAATATTCACATTTTTTTATTTGAAAACTTCATACTATTTTTGGAATCATAAAAAGTATGCTGGGTTGGCATTTTTTTCGTGCTCCGCCCATATTGGTATAAAAGTTTGTCCATAAACCAAATTAATGCACCCCAACTCATCACTATCAATAAAAAATATTTACGATATCCTGGAACTTTACCGACGGCCAAATCGGATGAATTTCCTCTAACGAATTTACAAGCAAATGGGAAAAACATATAATTTTGCATCGGGAAAGAGGGAATAAAAAGACATCAATAAAACAAATTTCGCGGAAGAACATTTAAGCATTACTGGATCGTGTTACATTCCGGCTCATTGCATTCGAAAACGGATATTTGAACGTATCCGATGCAGGCAGACGCAAACATTACATAGTGTAGTTCCGGTTTACTCTCGATGTATGTATTCTGTTGTATAATAAAGCGAATTCATGTCATTTTAATAGATGTATTTTATACGACGAACATTTGTCATCCTACTCAAAATTCAACCGAAAAGAAATATGAAGGTCTGAATTTAATTGTACCTTTCTGGTATTAGACCATTCTTTGTTTAATTCATTAAATCGTTAAGGGGATCCTTCCTTTCAATTAATTTGATTGGACAAAATCAATAAAGCTAAAACTCTATCTTACACTGTGCAGATAGATAAGCTTCATTAGACGCGTGTGGCAAAAAGTTTTAAACTAAATTAAATAAGATATTTAAGATTTTTGTTTTATTTTGTCCATGGACACTATTAAACATTATTGAATTTATTTTTAATTAAACATAATACATTACTAGATGTCAAAAAGTGTAGTTCAAAAAATAAAAGTTTTAAATATTTTGTCTCCATAACTTTTTTAGTTCATGGTGGTACACAACATTTTTTTAGAACATGTAAAGGTTGCTTATTAAAGGTGTGGTTATCACTTATGGAATAAAATTCGTTATTCGATGAAAAAAGATTTTTATGAAAAACCTTCAGACACGTAAACTTTATTTTTTTATTTTAAATCTTATAATTATAATTTTAAATTTTTGCCCCCCCCCCCACATTATACACATTTATCTTAAATACCCACTTTTTTTCATCGAAAATTGATAGTGCACTTTTACGAAGATACCCCATAAGCAGAATTTAGTAAACATAGTTTTCCATAAAGGGAGATTTTTTAATAATCACAAGTATGAATTTTTAATGTTACGTTGCTTTAGGTTTTTGTGTTGAGGCTTTTTCTATTTAGCTATTCATGTTTTTTCGCTTAGTTATTATTTGATTAACATGTTACATAATACCTGTGTATTTTTGTTATTGCTTTTGTTCGGTTCATCATGTTTGAATTGTTTACATTTGAATTGTTAAAATTTTTATTATGAGTGAAACATTTAATTTTTTACTTTTTGAAGTATTTTCTTTGATCTATTTCCTTAAAAAAATTGCAATAATTTGTTCTTAGTGCTCTAATACTTAATAATTTAGTTAAAAATGCGACACTGTTTATATGCGCCGATCACAAGAGCAAGTTACAAACCTTTTCAATAAAAAACACCCAGATTTACAACCACATTCTCAGGCAACTGTGTCTAAAATACATGCACAATTTCGTGAATATGAACACGTTTTAAAAACCATTACACAGGACGTCTTATTTTATTGAGAAAAATGACGTTAGTCAGGTTTTAAGATAAGTAAAATCCAAAAAAATGCATCTATATACGCTAAAGAAGTATCGGGGTTTTGCAACGCGCCCGCCATCTACTGAATTTAAGAATTTTCAACAATAAATTTAAAGCACCGATTTTACATCATTTTTAAATAAATAGGTAGTTTTTTTTACAAAAGAGATGAAGGAAGAAGTCTTACTCGATAAATTTTCTTTAATTGCTCAGCTAAATCGCGCACGTTATTTGTGTTTTACGTTGCAATGAAAAAATTAAAAAACTTTTTTAGTACTCGATTTCCTTATACCATTGATTAAGAAACTCAAAGCTTAAATGCTTATATAGTTACGTTAGTGAGTGTATTTTATCAAAGGGATCATGGTGAATTATTGTGTTATTAATTGTAAATACACGCAAAGAAATTTGTTGTCAAAATCAATATAATATTAGTCTTCTTTACAAATTGTGTTAAAAATACGGATAATGACAAATTGTAATACACAGTCAAACAAAATTGAAACAAATGTATTACTACAACTTACAGTATCTAGAACAGCAATTTGTAGTTGCTACAGATATTTTTATATGTGCATTTTAGTCATGTACTTGTTGCGTTTGTCACTATAATCTGGGTCCAGAAAATGTTATAATTGTGTGTACATAAATATTACAATTTATGGTACAAGATGACAAAACTTTGTAGAGTTTTTTACAACAATTACTTCAAATTGTCGTAAAAATAAAAGAACGGTATACATATAAGTGTCATCAAAAATTACACAATATTGTAGTAATTTTTTAAGCAACGACCAAAATTCACTTCTGCAAATTGTAGCATATTATAAGGCTATATTTGTATATTACTTATAAAATGTTGTTGCATTTTTTAATGCAACCAAATAAATTTGTTCACACAAATTGTAGCAAATCGTAGATATATTTTGGAGGGTTGGATGAGGTGATAAAAAAGCACTTTAAAATAAAACTAGTTTTATTACAGACTGGTATAACAAATCTTAAAAATAAACATACTCCTAAAAATGCAGTATGCAGGCCTTGGAGCTTTAAACTAAATACCTATTTTAATGAATAAAAAAAATAAATATTGCACATATGGATAAATTGTATAATATCTCATTAAAAAAATACATATATCCTGAACTCCATTGTTTTGATTATTGAATCTTTGAATTTTACTAAAAAAATGCTAAAACTCTAGTATACAAGTTTTTTCTATTTTATAAATTGTTTTTACGAAAACTAAATATACTACTAAAAAAGTTTTTAGATTTTTTAAGCAAAAACGCACAAGGTGTATTCGCCAATTAAACGTCAATCTCTCTTGGGGTGATGGTTGGCATAAATAAAAAAAAAATTAATTTCTTGTTTATATCTCAAGAACGCTTTGAGCAACAGGAACCAGTTTTGGCAAAAAAAAATTTGACACCCTGTATTTCCGAAACGGTCCGTGAGTACAAGGTATATTCGCCAATCAAACGTCAATCTCTCTTGGGGTGATGGTTGGCATAAATAAAAAAAATTAATTTCTTGTTTATATCTCAAGAACGCTTAATTACATAAAATAAGGGCAAACGCGCAATAGTTAGGGTCTTCAATTTGAAAAAATAAATGTGTGTGGAATTATTGAGGCTAAATCATCTCAAAAATGTGCAAAAAAAAATCCCCCTCCCCACCGGTTATTTTTAGAGGGCGGTCAATATTTAGAATTAGCCATTTTTGGGGTCAAACTTTAAAAATTCATAGTTTTCGACTGTACTGAGATAACGATTTTAAATAAGTTGCAGCATTTAGAGTAAGCATGAGGCCTTAATACAAATTTGAAGCCATCTCAATTTTCTCGAATAATAAGGCCTTTTGGATTTTTTAAAATTGTTTTATTTTTTTCAAAATTGACCATGTTTAAAAAACTATATCTGCCTTATGACACCAAAGGTCTCAAAACCCAAGGGATAAATCATTGCGATAATCCATGTTGATAATAATTTTAATCTAAAAGTTTTTCAAAGGTTAAAGGTTATAGGTAAAATTTCTTTTTTTTAATTACTGTTTTAAAAATATACTCATTTTTGCAATATTTTGAGGTTAATTATCTCAAAACTATATTTTTTTATTTTTATCAAATAGGCCTTATTATTCTAAGTAAACATAGCTCTTTCGTAATCAAAAATAAAAAAGTTGTGTATTTTGGTGTGATGGTATTTTTTTCAATTAGGAACATTTTGATGTCCCAATATATGCAAGGTCCAATTTAATCATATTTATAGAACTGAATAAGAAATAAATTAATTATGTATGTAAAGCTAGTATCTTGTATTCACCTTTTCAGCTTTTTCTCAAACACACGTTGTCGACACTACAAATTTTATATAACTTTTTTTTAAACAAATCTATAAAACATTATAGAAATTAATAGAAAATAACAAAAAATTGGAATCAAAAATGTTATCACCCTAATTTAAATAAAACAGAAACCTAAAAAATCTCTGAAAAAATTTTAAAAAATGCTAAAAATTATTAAATAATAAATAAATTAATTCTTAAGAAAAAATAATAAATATCAACAATAGTACAATTCAAAAAACGTTACTTCAGTTTTTTACTAAGCATGCGACATTCCAACTTTTTTGTTTGAGTTCTTATTAGAATAATTGTTATTGTTATTGTTTTTCAAGGAAGATTTTTATTTTTCAAGTCAGTTTGCATTTAAATATCGTGCCAGTTAGAGCTAAGTACATTAAAAATGGAGTGTTCGGTTGGAAAAATAGTTGGTGAAGTGTGTCATAAAACCAAAATTTTTGATTTTGAGAGCAGCTTTTCGGATGAAGACAAAGATTTATTACGTATTCGCGTGGGACAGTCAATAGAAAATATATGCATCTTCCATAAGGACAGGTACCTTACCTATTATTCTACCTGGTTTGGAAAATCCTGTTGCGATCCCTTCAAAAGGCACAAATCAAAAATTAAAAAATCTCTCTGTATTCTTGGCAATACCTTCTGCCAAACACAAAAAAATATACATTTAGTACCTGGAAATGCTATTTGCCTGAACTGCCTAAAAAAACTTAAAAAATTCAAAGACGGAGACAACGAAGAAGATTGGCAAGATAATAATGATAGTATTATTATTGATGACATTGACGACGATTTTATTCCACCTGAAGAGCTTAAGAAAGAGGTATCAGAAATATGCAAATTGTTAAGAATTGAAGAGATTGGCCTCTCAAGTACTATTAGTAAAAAAGCAATTGAAAAAAAAGCTTGCGAAGTTAAACTAGTATTTAAAAAGAAATGCTTAAAAGTTTTAAATTTAAGTGACTCTGAAGAAGAGCCAGATGATGATGAAATGGGCCGAAATTATATTAGTCTGGTGAAGGAAATTAAAGAGACGATTCCTACACTTGATTATGAAAATAAAATAAATATTATAAGCTTAGCACCAAAATCGTGGTCCCTTAAACGAGTTGCAAGTGAATTTAATATTTCTGAAAAAACCGTGAGAACTGCTAGAAACCTGTCAAAAGAACATGGCATTTTTCCCAAAAGTCGTCAAATAAATTTAAAAGGCAGACCATCTATTTCAGAGGAAGTGCATACTACAGTGCTTGATTTTTATCAACAAGATGATGTTAGTAGGCTTTGTCCAGGAGCAAAAGAGTTTACCTCTGTAAGGGATAAATCTGGAAAAAAAGTCCATAAGCAAAAAAGGCTGCTTCTTTTCAACTTGAAAGAATTATTTTTAATGTTTAAAGAGGAAAAATCCTACATAAAAATAGGATTTTCAAAATTTTGTGCACTTCGACCTAAATGGTGTGTACTTGCAGGTGGGGCTGGCACCCATACAGTATGTGTGTGTCTTTACCATCAAAATTTGAAGCTTTTATGTAACGTGATATCAAAAAGTGTAAAGTACACTACTTTTATAGAAGCTACAGTCTGTGACGTAAACAATGAAAACTGTATGTTTGGAGAATGCAAAGAATGCCCTGGTAAACAAAAATTGGAACAGCTTTTGTCAGAAATGGTTGATGATGGAAATAAAACAGTGGTATACAATCAATGGATTTCAACTGATAGGTAAGTATTTTTTTTCGCAAAACTGGTTTTTTACAAGTGTAGCTTTGCCAGGAGTCAATCTTATATGAGGCTTTTTTAAGTGTGCTTTTTTTTTAGGTGCCATATGAAGCAGATACAAGAGAAATATTCTGAGTTTCTGGAGACTTTCAAGGAGCAAGTGCTTAAAACAAAAGAACACCATTTTGTCGCAAAATCACAAGGAGCTTTTTTAAAACAATTAAAAGAAAGTTTGGGTGAAGGTGAATTTATAGTTTTGTGTGATTTTGCCGAAAATTATTCATTTACAGTTCAGGACGAAGTTCAAAGTTTCCACTGGAACACTTCCAGTGCCACACTCCACCCTTTCCTTATTTATTACAAAGATATTTCAGATACCATTCAAACTCAATCTTTTTGTGTGTTAAGTGATGTCAAAAACCATACCACCTTGGAGTTTGCAGTCTTTCAAAAATACTTTATTCAGTTACTTAAAACCAGATTCCTTTGCATCAAAAAACTCTTTTATATGACTTATGGATGTGCTGGTCAATATAAGAATAAAAAAAATTTTTTGAATCTGTATTATCATGAAGAGGACTATTTGTTGGAGGCCGAGTGGCACTTCTTTGGAACATCTCATGGCAAAAGTGCCTGTGATGGTGTAGGGGGCACTGTAAAGAGGGTTGTTCGAAAAACCAGCCTCCAAAGAACAAGTAGCAATCAAATTCTAGATATTGATAGTATGTTTAATTTTTGTCACGAATATATTAAAGGTATTTCTTTTTTGTTGATAAAACAAGAAAAATTAGACATTGAAAAAGATTTTTTTGATAAACGGTTTCAATTAGCTTTACCTATAAAAAATACCAGAGCACATCATGGATTTATTCCGCAAAAAGATAATTTGTTAAAAATTAAAAAATATTCTAATTCAAATTTATTCACTATTGTTAAAGTACAAAAGTGAACTAAAACAATTTGTTTTTTTATTTTTACAGTTTTACATTTTTGGTTTTGTTGGGTTGCTTTGTTGGATTAGTATTTTTTTGCAACCACAGAATAAAATTTTAATTTTTTCCAATAAATTTTTCTTTGGTTTTAACAAAATTAATGTGTTAAGGCCTAATACTTTTTTCTTGTTTGTTGTTTAAATAAAACTTATTTAAAATTATTTTGTTACACTTTTTTTCTATATTTATGAAGGTTTTTCAAAACTGACAGCGTGTGCAGGCAAAATTTTGAGGAATATGCGAAAAATGTAAGTATAAGATATTAAATTTGTGTTAATAATAAATTTATTTCTAATTCAATTCAGTAAGTATATTTCAATTGGGCCTCGAGTATATTAGGATATCAAAATGTTCCTAATTGAAAAAAATTACCATTGCACCAAAATACACAACTTTTTTATTTTTGATTACGAAAGAGCTATGTGTACTTAGAATAATGAGGCCTATTTGATAAAAATAAAAAAATATAGTTTTGAGAAAATTAACCTCAAAATATTGCAAAAATGCACGGAAAAAAATCCCTTACTAGGTTTAAGAATAGTTCTATACTTCATGTTAGGAACTTGATTTAAGTTTATTTATTATTTCTATGAGATTAGCGTACATTTAAACTAAGTAATGGGATATACTTAATTTTTAAGAAAAACTGTTACTTGATTTGAGATGAGTATTCTTGGATTGAGTTTAAAGGTATTTTATTTTAAAGAAAATTGGTATACTTAAATCAAATATACAATAATGCTTAGATGAAAGAGCTCTAGTTTTTTACTCAAAGCGGAATATTGCCACTTATTTTAAGTATTCTGTATATTTGTATGAAATTTCGGTATACTTTATTTAAATATATGTATATTTAATACAAGAATGCTTATACTTCAATTTAAGTATAAGACCTCTAGAACAAAGAATACACTATACTGTATTTAAGTATAGCTATTATTAAAACAAATACCTAATTCTTCGCTTAAGTAAATACCGTCCACCCTCTAAGACCGCTTCGCTAAAAGAAAAGACGCAGTTTCTGTGTTCAGTTCTGTCCTGTGTTCTATTGTGGTAGCGTGTGTTCCTTTTTTCCTTTTTCGGTCTGGATGTTATTTTTAATAAAAAATAGTGGATAAGAAACTTAAAAATTGGGGCTTAGAATGTTTACTAGACACATTTTTGGGTAAGTAAATAATATTTCATTACTTTAAAGTAATTAACTAGGCATGATCGTAAAAATGTAGGGTAAAATGGATAGGTATACTGTAGTGTAAAATGGATAGCATACGACAGGTAATAGACAATAGCACATAAACAGCAGAAAGGCTATAGCCTCCAATTCAGCTATATTATTTTTGTTTTAGAAAACGAGATAGATCTCTATATTACGGTAAACCTAAGCGAGGAGAATTTAAAGGAATTAATTCCAAAAATAGGATTGAGGATCAAGGTTAGAGAAAAAATTGAAGAATTAACACCAAACCATCTACGATGATAATGGTAGCCTTCTTAGAGACTCATTTTACAAATTATTTAGCTGGAGATAAATTTTACTGACAATAAAAATACCTACTTAAAAAAATAATAACTATTGTGATTAAAAACCTTACCTTTACATATAGCACCAAAAATGTGATACCTAGGTACTTAAAAAAATTAAATGTAAAATATAGTATCTATGTTAATTAACCGTGAAAGAATGAATTTATATAAATTTACAGTACTTTTTCTAATACCTCTAAGACTGTTAGGTAATAAACCTATTGTGATATCATGATATCAGTGCCTATTATACTTAGTACTTTAGTACATTAAAATAATTAAAATAATCTGCCAAAAATACTGTTAACTTACTGTCATAACGATTATATTTTCACTTTCACTTGTATTTTCCGTAGTGGTACTAATACAAATATTTTTCAGGGTCACGAATGTTTTTTTTTTGTAAATATTATTCCGAGTCGCCAGACGAGGGAATTTTTTTTTCCAATCAACCACTTTCTTTAAGAATAGTGTAAAGTTATTTTAAATATATAGGTACTATACTTTTATCAAATATAAAAAAAGGAAAAGTAAGAATCCAAGCATTTTATGCAAGTAAAGCGTGTACTTACAATAAGTATAAATAAATAAATTTTAAAGAAAGTATATTCTTAAAACAAGAATACTGTAAAGATTTTACAAAGAAACTATACTTTGATGAAGTACATACTAACGTTACAACAAGAATACCGTAGTCTTCATTGAAGACAAATTTGTATACTTAACTCAATATTAGTGTGTTTCTTATTTTTAGTATAGCAGTAATTTTAGATTAAACCGAAGCTATCTTTATTTTATAAGAATATGAGGATACTTGAAACAAGTATAAGTTTACTTGCGGAATAGGGAAACTAAGCTATACTTGGATAGAGTTGAATTTTCTTGGAATCAGTATAGATTTTTTTCCGTGTGAGTATATTTTTAAAACAGTAATTAAAAAAAAGAAATTTTACCTATAACCTTTAACCTTTGAAAAACTTTTAGATTAAAATTATTATCAACATGGATTATCGCAATGATTTATCCCTTGGGTTTTGAGACCTTTGGTGTCATAAGGCAGATATAATTTTTTAAACATGGTGAATTTTGACAAAAATACAACAATTTTAAAAAATCCAAAAGGCCTTATTATTCGAGAAAATTGAGATGGCTTCAAATTTGTATTAATGCCTCATGCCTACTCTAAATGCTGCAACTTATTTAAAATCGCTATCTCAGTACAGTCGAAAACTATGAATTTTTAAAGTTTGACCCGAAAAATGACTAAATCTAAATATTGACCGCCTTCCAAAAATAAACGGTAGGGAGGGGGATTTTTTTTGCATATTTTTGAGATGATTTAGCCTCAATAATTCCACACCCAATTTTTTTTTCAAATTGAAGACCCTAACTATTGCGCGTTTGCCCTTATTTTATGTAATTACCCTTTGAGCAACAGGAACCAGTTTTGGCAAAAAAAATTTGACACCCTGTATTTCCGAAACGGTCCGTGAGCAAAACTTTTTGTATTTGAAAAAATTCTTGTTTCTGCCAGCTATCCCACGAGAGATTGACAGTTAGCGTTCATGCATTTAGCATATTGTCCGCGGCAACACTGCCTAATAAGTCTGTGACAAACTGATCCATTGCTCCACTGCACAACAAAAGTTATTTTTCCGTCAACTAGGGTAAATAGTTCTAACCGCTACACTCAACACTAAACCCTAGATAAATACTAAGACAAAACTGCAATTATATTTTTAAACAGTACACCGGCCAAAGGGACGTTGTTTTGGTATGCCAAGACAAAACAAACTAATAACCTTGGTATCAACCAATCAGAGAAGGATTTTTTTACTATATAAAACTTGATTTAAAACTATCACACGTGCACACATTTTTCACACAACTTGCGAATAAGTTTACCACAACGACGTACCAAAAATAAATAAAGTTGGGTTGTAGTATTACACGCGTTAGTATTGTTGCGTTTTATACCACAGACTAAATGCATTATTGCTATAATTTGTTTATTTCTTGTTTAACACAAACAATGCAAATCTTTACAATGGGGTTAGTTGCTTGTTTCGCACATTACCAGTACATCTGGTTAAACTAGGACATAACAAGTAAAATTTATTATAACTAAATTATATATAAACAATTTTAATTTAAAAATTCAAAATTATTGTTAAAACAATAAATTTAATTTAATTCTATTTTAATATTAGCCTTATTCATCAATTATTTTCGAAAATATAAAAAAATAAACAAAAAAACACTGTTGACAAAAATCTAAAAATGGAAAAAATCGAAATTCTTAAAATTATTAAAAATGAAAAAAATTAAAAACACTGTATAAAGACAAAAAATGATTCCTTGTTCGTCGGAATCGCTTGATTGGAACCGAAGTTATGATCATGAAAATTAAAAAAATCATATTTCTAAAAATAATTGATTAATCGGGTTAAATCCATGGAAAAACGTTTGTCTTTTTTTGTATCGAATTTACGTGGAATCTCCCAATATAAAATATAATTATAAAATTATTATGCAACAAGTTTTATAAACCGCAGAATCGAGTTTTAATTAGGTACAAGCAAAGCTTGTAGAGGCAGTGTATGAACGAAACTTTAAATTATGTATGTCAGAAAAATTATTTTAATTTTTTAAAATAAATTGTACTAAATTCTTATACAGGGTGGTCCAGGATTAATCTGAAAAATTTTAATGATCGATAGAGCCTGAAAAAACAATAAAAACAAACCCAAAAACATTTTTCAAAAATATAAACTAACACACTAATAGCCCTTCAAAAAACCGTTTTTTTAAATAACTTTTAAACCATTAAACCGATTCTGCTCAAATTTTGTGTAGTTAAAATTTCTTACAAAAGGCCCAGCGGCGGAGATTTTGGGGGGTTTCCCCTTTTTACCCCCATATTTCGACCCCACTGGATTTTATTGGAAAATCAACAGATTGTCAAACACATTTGATTTATTATGCCACGTTATCAGTTTAGCAACATCGAATATGCAGATATTCATTATGTGTATGGACTATGTGATGGAAATGCGCTAGCACCAGAGGTTTCGAGACTTTGAACTATGAAATAATAATGAACAAAATGTACGTGAACCGAGATTAAGACGACGGGATACTGAGAACTTTTCAAAATGATCCAGGGTTGACCTCCCGGAAAGCTGCTTTAAGGCTGAATCCCTCAAAGTCAAATATTCTAAGAGTTCTTCATGACGACCACCAAAAACCTTATCATTACCGCCCGGTTCAAAAAAGAAGAGCCCAATTTTGTTCGAAAAATTTTATGGCGCTCCAGCACATTCAAGTGTTCGAGTGCTGCAATGGTGCGACAAAAATTTCCCGCAATGTTAGATTGGGCGTTTTGGGCCAATCTCTTGGCCGGCGAGATCGCCTGACCTCAACCCGTTAGAAT